TATGAGTTTAAACTAGAAACAACTGAGGTTTTATGAAGAGATTAATGCCTCCTTCATGTCAGTTACTTATTTCTAAAACTAGTATCTTGACATTCTCTACGTCCATTTTATCTATGAAATTTAAACTCCAATATCCCATTCTCTAACTGCTGTGTTTCATCATTCCCATCCTCATTCATTTCACAGCATTATACCCTGTCTCTATGCAGTGTCACAGGGACCTAGGCATTTTATTTTTCTTGGGCTATTGGTTCTCATTCAGCTTCGTTTTCTTCCAGTGGCCCAGATTCCATACTCCATTACTTTGGTCATTTTCTGTCTAATACATTTAATTCTAATTCATTCATTGTGCACATTCTAAAAATTTCAAGATCGGCCTAACCATCTGGTTTTTACACCTAAGCTGTAGGGAAAACTAGCGGAAAAAAGAAATGAAAAATCATATGAATGTTGTTATACGCCTTCATGACTTCTCCATGACTGTGACATTGCTCCTATGCATCCTGAGTGAGTTTCCTCTGTGTCCCTGCTCAGCACACATTCTTTGCATTTCTGAAATTTTCCTACTTTACCCATCACAATTTGAAGGTAACATAATCTTATTATGACCAATAAAATAAGACTCGCTGTAAAGAAAGCTCTTAAGTCACTGTCCCACTCCTTCACCTCTACCACACTGAATTTCATTGCTTTTTGTTTACCTCAGTAAATGATGTCTGAATTTCTATACTATTGTTATGTTTCCTTTGCAATATTTTCTCCTGTATTGCAATATTTCTCCTCTATTTGGTTATGATGAATATCCTATTCAAACTAACTTATACAAATTAACCCCAAGCCTAGAACTGGCTTTAACCACTGCAAGTTTAAAAAAAAAAGTTGAAATTTCATTTTGAGGACCTTGTCATTCTCTTGTCCCACCCTCAGCTCTTCTGTCTTTTGTTCCTTGGCCCAGAAGACTCCTTTTTCATGGATGGTGACAACCACAGCCAGCCATTCTAGCTCTCATTATCTTTGGAAATAATGATACCACAGGAAAGAAAACTTCATGTTTTGATAGCATAAAAGTACCAGGAAGGACTCTGGTTGTCAAATTGGAGTCACGTCTCCATCTTTGAGCCAAGAAAATAATCAGCCTCCTGGATCCTATGCTCATTTCAGTGTCTAGAGGATACAAGACAGGTAGTGGATACAGGTGACAAAATATGCTCAACAAACAAAAGTTATCATATATTCATACATATACCTTCCTGTCCTTCTCAAGTTGAAATCATGAAGGACCCCTCTCTCTTCACCATATCATCAAATTCCACCACTGACATGTTGCCATATGTTATATAACAGCAATGCTCATGCATAGTAAGTGTTCAAAAACTATCGCTTATAACAACAACAATGACTCATTAAAGCCTCATTTTAAGTCTCAGCATCTTCCCCTGGCTTCCAACTGTGTATCTCTTTGCAAGGAATCACCCTTCTATTGTCCTCATACTAGTGCTTGTCTTTCTTTTATCTGTGCTAAATTTCAAATCAAAGGGGAGTTTCAGAATATTGTAAGTATTCTCTTCCAGTTTTTTCTATTCTTCACAAGTTAGCCAACGTTGAATGTTTTCCAAATCTTTTCATTATTTCCTTTTTCATTATAAACTTTACTCTTAATTCACCTCTCACCCTCCATTATACTGTAGGCGGTGAAGAGAAACCATTTATTACCTTGAACAATCTTCTTAGAGATTTTTCCCCCAAATATCCTAGTTCATAGTTTTTAAATTCCACCTTCTCCCAAAGTACCGGGATACAGGCACAAACCAGCCATGCTATTTGCTGTTCTGTAGCCAGGATGACCCCTCTTCCAGTTTCCAATAAGATATACTCATTTCTGTCTGAGAATTCATCAAAATGACCTGTGCTGTTTATATTTTTACCAACACTCTGCCTAGAGTGCCTTAGAAAATCCCAAAGACTATCAGGTTTCTCTTTAACTCTCCCTTTCTGAGTCCTCTCTAAGATCAACCTCAACATTCTGTTCAGAGAAGTTGGGGGCTTTTTATTGTTTGCACTTCCAAACTCAAATCATAGCCATCATGCCCTTGTTAAATCAAATAGACTTTCCTATTTGTCCTACTTTAACTGACACAGCTGCTCTATTGGCCACTAGTGATTATTTTCTTTAGTTCTTAATGAGAACTCTCCTTCCTTCACATTGGGAGCAGTGAGTCTGCTGGTTTTCCCCACTCAACATTCCTCTCTTCCTTTATGGGTTTGTCAACCCCGTTGTTGATGTTTCTTGGTTCAGACACAATCAAACAAAATTCTTTCACTCTCCACACTCTACTGCTTTCAACTACTACATAAATCATAAACCTCTCAAATCAAAATCTGCCCTTGGCCATCTCTTTCCACCTGAACTTCATATTCCAGTACTCAATTCCTTGTTCAAAAGGGGTATTCACAGTGACTGCCAGATGTGCTACACCCAAGACTGAGTTTCTCAATTTCTTCTACTCAAGGTTTATTCTCTTTTATGTTATCAATTTATAAGAAACATTTTTTGGGTAAAATAGTATATGAGAAGTACTAAGTTGAGTGCTTGGGGAAAGAGCAACAATAATGCTTGGCCTCCTTAAAGCACTGATCTAGAAGGAGAGACAGACAATTGAATAGGAAGTTACAAAAACAGTATGATTAACTTCTATGAAATGAAAATGACAAGATCTTATAGAAGTGCACTGTGGGGTCACTTATATGGTCTAATGGGAGTGTTTAATATGGCTTCCAGCATGAGTGATATTTATGTCAAGAGCCTCTTAGTTAGGGATTGTTTATTGTAAAATAGAAACTCTTCCAATGATGGAAAGAAACATTAGGAAAGTAACTAGAAGCCCAAAAGACTATCTCAGAGAACTTACATTACACTGAATTATTCCAAAGGCAAACTTCAACATGAAGATATGAAAGCCAATAATTAATCAAGAGGTAACTACAGGCAGCAATGTTAGAGGAGTAAGGGGAGGAACAACGGGAAGATAAGGAAGTCAGTGCATTGTGATGTCAATCAGGTCACTGCTGTGAGAAACTGGGGCTCAGTCCTGCCAAAGACACCCCAAAGTTATTCCAACCATGGGACAAAGACTTCTCATAGTCATATAACTCAAGACTGCCTCCCACCATGTGGAGGGCCAATCCAAGGAGGTGTTAATTCTCCTCCATTTAGGTCCAACCCCATGTAGATGCTTAAGGTTCCAGGAGCCACAAAAAGCCCTCAAGCAGGTCCTTCCTTTTGGAAATAAGTGTTTTCATAGGGGCTCAGATGGTGATGTTCTTAAAGTATGTAAGCAATGCCTGCAATGTCTTTTAGAGACTGTCCCTTGCATAATTTGTACCCACATTTAGTCACTCTGTCTTACTACTGATTCTTTAAGGTGGTACAAAGTTAGAATTTTAAATACACTAACAGATTTTCTTAAAACCATAATTATAGAGTTAGTGAGACATGTTACAGACCCTGCTGTTGAGTTGGCCCTTAAACCCTAATTTATATCTGATGTTTCCCTCTATCACTCACTCAGGATTCCTCTGGTCCTTGGCTGCTTGTTCCTTTGATCTGTCCAATAATTGAAAAATATACCTTTATCAACAATAATGAAGTGGTGATCACTCCAAGGAGGAAGAAATAGTCCTGTGATTAACCTACCCACAATTGGCTGAGTGGTCGCCTTTAGGGATAAACCCATACTGTGGTACTTAATGTGTTGCTGCAACATTAGATTTTTAACAGAAGGAGTAACTAGATCAGCCTTGGTGTGGAGGAAACCCAGCCTTTGTCCTCTTGTCTACCCTTCATCCCTGAAACAATGGCTGCCCCTTTTATAGCTCCAACATAAGGAATATGGTAGCCAAGAACAGAAACCAACTGTCCACTCAGTGGGAAATTGTAATCCTGGTTGTTCAGTGCTTCCTCTGTAACAAATGCTCTCTGTTGCCCATTAACATAAGAAGCAAAGACCTCCTGGGTTAAGTGCTCAAGAATATCAGAAACACAAGGACAGAGGTCAGATTTAGAGCTATATACAAAGGGATTCAACTAAACTCTGTATGCTGAAGGACAGGGACATTATCCTCCCTATCAAGATCTGGGCTGAGAATCCTGGAAGCTAGACATCTGTCTCTTTGGCAAGAGATGCTAAAATCTTCAGTAGAGAAACACAATAATCCAGAGAAAACAACTCCAGATATTAATAACTAGGAAGCAATCTCCTTAGTGAAAGAGCTGAACCAGGCATAATCAGTCTCCAGTGAAGCCCACCAGACAGCAACCCTAACCCACTCACAGAACTTTCATTCAGAATGGAGTACTTACCCTTAAGTATCAATAGGTAGCAAGATATTTGAATGCATTTCCCAACATGACAAAAAAGACAAAGCAAATGAATCAAAGAAAAGCACAGAAGGCAAAGACCCAATGGATAGAATAAAAGAACACGGAAAAATAAAATAAAATTAATATCTGCTGGAACTGTGAAAATGTTGAATCCATGAGAGAAGAGGCAGATGCTATGCGGGAAAGGATTACGAGCAGTTTGGGGGACACCAATCTTCACGGCAGAGTGGTAAGAGCCTTCCTGTTTCTCATAGATAGCAGTGGACTAGAAATAAGAAGACCAGTAAGGACATACTGAGTTCAGAATGTTGGTGGGAAATCCCAGTAACAGTCACTGTCCATGCACTGTGAGTTTAATCTGCACCCATGTATGTTTGTGTCTCTCAAGAAGGGTTTCTGAAATTTCAGTTCTGAAAAGAACTGTGTCTTCCATGGCATATGAGACACATCATTTCCTGGACTTTTCCAGAAATTTTAATCTATGCTGTTCACTATGATAGTCTCAAATAGTTCTTAAGTATATTTACTGAATGTATCAATCATTTAATCAATGTTTTTGGACATTGATAAGGCCTGTCGATGTCGCTCCCGGCCGGCAGGAAGGACACACGACAAAGCCTGGCAGTGGACAACCTTTTCTTTTATTTTCCTTCTCCGTACAGCCTGCCCTGGGATCGCTCCCAGCCGAAGCCTCCTTTGGTCCGCTCCCCGCGGCTCCTTCTGGGCTTCTACTTCCGGGCTTCTTCTTCCCCCCCAGGGGTGGCACCAGTATATATACGGATACAGTGTCCAATCATGTTAAAGTAAGCAAGGCAAGCTGATTGGCTAACATCATCAGTTGCCAGGCAGACTATATTGTTGAGCGGGTTGCTTACGCGATAAGCAGGAAACTAACGTGCTCGATGGGAGGGGTAATCTACCTCAGGCTTTACTCTTTACTACAGGCCTCACGTCCGCCAAGTGAGGCGACCGGGCTCGGGGCTGCGGCTCCCAACATCTCCCCCTTTTTTATTTTTTATGAATGTGCGCATCGTAGCCCTTTCTGGACTGGGTGCAGAGGCTTATGCCCTATGCGTAGGCCCACCGTAGGTCCTTGGCTTAGACCCTGGTCGGCCGTCCTATGGTCTGCCAAGGCCCTGAGGCCCTCGTCCTTTTTCAAGGGCCAGGCACAAACTGGACGGAACCTGGATGCACACAAGCTTGCACTCATTTCCTCTCCGTAAAGAAATCCCCTCGGAGAGAAATTTAGACCTGGGCAGCATCTAACAGTCCAGCGGCTTACGTGCAGGATGGGGTAGGGCCTGGCTTAGGTTGAGTCGCACCGGGGAAGTACGCTCTTACCCGTCATTGACTCTCCTACCCAGCTATGTCATAATTTTTTAGAGGAGGAGTGTGGGAAGCTCACCGTCCCTAGACTCGGTCGTAGGCTAGGCGAGCGAGCCATGCATATGCCTGAGGATCTTCTTGTCCATTTCGGACTACCGCTATTTCTATTCATCTTGTTGGTCGGTCTGTGATGGATCTCCGGTAGGGCAGGTCTGATCTTCAGTCGAGGGCTTTGTCGCCCGTGTCAGTCTCTCTGGTACCCACAGTGGTTCTCGTCCCGATTCCTGTGGGAAAACACAAATCGCGCCTCGGTTCCAGCTGACCACTGGATCCGGGCCCATCCATTGTCCTGTCAGGACATCTTTCCACTTCACCCACCCTTTATGGTTGGGGGAAGGGTTGTAGTGCTCCACGGCTGGGGAGCAATTATCATTATTTAAATTTAAAAAATTGTGTGTGAATAGTGCCATGGATAATCGCGCCTTTGGGGCCAGGCCTTGGCCTACTCCCCCTTTTTGTTTTTGTAAAATTTCTTTGAGGCTTCTATGAGCCCTCTCAATGATTCCTTGACTTGGGGATTGTATGGGATACCAGGTTTTAATTGAACCTCCATCATTTTGCAGAACTCATTGAAGGCTTTGCCTATATAGGCTGGTCCATTATCAGTTTTTAATATTTTTGGTTTGCCCCATGCGGCCCAAGCCGCCAGGCAATGATTGATCACATTAGACACTTTTTCACCTGTTTCTGCTGTTGCGAATATGACGTGAGAACAGGTGTCTGTGGAAACATGAACATATTTAAGAGTCCCAAACTCCTGTATATGTGTGATGTCCATCTGCCAAACATCACCAGGGATCAAACCTCGAGGGTTTACTCCCATCGGTATGGCAGGTTTGTATGTGGCACAGGAGCCACATAGTCACACGATATCTCGTGCATCTGCTCTGGAAACATGGAAATGGTTTGCTAGTGTCCTGGCATTGACATGAAACTTATCATGGAAGGCACGGGCTCGCTCGATTGGTGTTAGTAAGGTAAAAATCCATAACGGGCGAGTGGCAGTATCAGCAGCCGCATTCCCCTGTGCCATGGGCCCCGGCAGGGATGTATGTGCTCTTATGTGGGTGGTGAAGACCTTATGGTGTCTGTTCTGAAGCAATGTCTGGATAGACAGGAACAGCCCAGCCACTGTGGAAGTGGATCTAATTAAACCGGCAGTCTCAAGCACTTGCATAGCATTGACCACATACCTAGAATCGGAGACAATATTAATGGCTTCTGAGAACCGTTCAAGAATCATTTTAACGATCTGCAGTTCCACCACCTGAGGCTGATCAGGTTCAAATTGTATGGTAACCGGGGGCTTGCCTAGGATCACATAGGCGCCTATCCCCGTCTTGGAGCCATCTGTGTATATTGTAGTTGCTGGGACTAATGGCTCAGAGGCAGTAACCTTTGGAAAAATTATAGGGTGCTGAGTGACAAATGACAAGATAGGGTCTTTAGGGTATTGATTGTTTATATCCCCATGGAAAACACATCTCAGAATGGCCCAGGTATCTATGCAGGCAGCCAGGGTCTTGATCTGGCTGGCGGTATAGGGTACTCGGATGGCTTGTGGTCCTGAGCCAAAATGTTGGACAGCTCTATCATGCGCCTCAAGGGCCAATGAAGTGACTGCCTCCGGGTAATGCTCTATGACTTTTGCAGGTGAGACCTTAAGGTGTATCCACAGTAATGGTCCTTTCTGCCAAATCACCGCTGTGGGCTGTAGACTAGTCTGTAGCAAACAGACATCAAAGGGTCGCCCTGGTTCAATTCTGTGTAAGGTAGCCCCACCTAAGGCTTTTTCCACTCTCTGTAAGGCAGCTCTTGCCTCAGGAGTGAGCCTCCTGTGGGAGGCTATATCTGGGTCTCCCTTCAGAAGGTCGAACAGGGGTTTGAGATCTGAATTTGGTATATGTAAATATGGCCTAATCCAATTAATGTCTCCCAATAGCTTTTGCATGTCATTTAGGGTCCTAACGCCATCCGTCCTAATGGTGACCTTCTGCGGAGAGACTAGCATAGGGGAGATTCTCGCGCCTAAGTAGGTCACCATTTCTCCTCCCTGAATCTTGTCGGGGGCAACATGCAGATTAGCTTGTCTCAGGGCCTCGACCAACTGGCCGAGCATATTATTTAGCATGTCTGGGTCCCTGCCGCTGAGCAAAAGGTCGTCCATGTAATGCACACATCTTATCTTGGGAAAGGATTTCCGTAGGGGGGCCAGTAGGGAATCAAGGTAAATCTGACACATAGTGGGACTGTTGGCCATACCTTGGGGCAGCGTTATCCACTCGTATCTGAGATCAGGGCTTTCTTGGTTAATGGTGGGTAAAGTAAAGGCGAACCTATGAGTGTCCTCTGGATGCAGGGGGATTGAGAAGAAACAGTCTCTAAGATCTATAACATAAACTGGCCAGGACTGAGGGATGGCTGAGAGAGCTGGCAGCCCCCTCTGGACCGCCCCCAGGGACTGCATCTGCGCGTTGACCGCCCTTAGATCATGGAGCAGCCTCCACTTGCCAGACTTTTTCTTAATTATAAAAATGGGGGTGTTCCATGGGGAGGTTGACGGCTTAATGTGTCCTAATCTAAGTTGTGTACTGACTATTTCTGACAAGGCTAATAGCTTCTCCTTAGGCAGGGGCCACTGAGGTACCCAAACCGGATCATTTGACCTCCAGGTGATTTTGATCGAAGTGGGTAGGAGAGCTTCTTCAGCGGCCCCTAAGAAAAACCCAGCCCTTGCCTACCTTTTTTGTTCTCTACTGGTATTGGGGATGTCCGACCCTGTAGGGCATTGCCCAAGCCTTTGCCGGGGGTATATCCCTGGTTCCTGAGTATATTCTTAGCCTGGGGGGAGCAGTTTGACGTAAGCGTGACATCCATCTGAGTGAGGATGTCCCTTCCCCATAGAGACACTGGCAACTGCAACACAAATGGTTGGAAATGGCCCTGATGACCCTCCTCATCGCACCAGAACAGGGTTGAAGCACTAACCTGAGGAGCTGACACCATCCCCAGGCCCTGCAGCGTGTTATCTGCAGTGTTGGTGGGCCAGTTGGAGGGCCAATCCTTTCTAGAGATAATGGAACGGTCAGCTCCTGTGTCTAGGAGCCCTGTTATATTCTTGCCATTGACCTTAAGTGAGAGCATGGGCCTTTTATCAAGTATTATATGGAGTCCCTCGAAGACTTCCCCTGAGGAACCGAAACCTTGACTTTCTCTAATTTTCTGCTTTGAGGGGAATCTCTTGTGGAGACTGGGGAGCAGCAAGAGCTGCGCTATCTTGTCTCCTTTATTGATTACCATAGTACCCACAAGAGATTGAACCATAATTTTAATGTGTCCTGTGTAGTCTGAGTCTATGACCCCCGGGACTACTATGAGACCCCGAAGGGCCGTGGAGGATCTCCCGATCACCAGACCCATGGAATTTTCGGGTAACGGTCCCTTAAAGGTGGTTTCAACCACTTGAACACCCATATCAGGCACTAATATAAGTCTGGAGGCGACACTGAGGTCCACACCTGCTGACCCAGGGGTGGCCCTTGTTGAAGGCTGCCATCCTGAGCTGTCCTGTCTCTGGGGCGGGGGCCCGCCTGTGAAGGGGGCCCCCTCTGGCCGTTTTTTGGCCCTCTAGCATCTCGTCCACAAATACGGTTGCCCTGAGCATCAAAGACCGACCTACACTCCTCAGCTTTGTGTGATCCCCTCTTGCATCGCCCACAAACATATGGTTCTTCATTCCTAGGGCGAGGCCTAGCATCTGCATTGTTTGGGCAGTGACGTTTAATGTGTCCTGGCTCCCCGCAGGCAAAACACCCTTTAGCCTTACATTCCCCTTCTAACCCGCGAGGTCCCCTCTGCTGTACAGCCGCGGCCAGGAGAGCAGCCACTCCCGAGTTGGAGAGCGGCCCCCCTATCTCTCTACATATCCTAATCCAGGCGTTGAGGTCCTTGTTCTTATGAGGAGCTATCGCTGCCTTGCACTCCTTTGTACATTGCTCAAAAATCAGCTGCCTTACCAGCGGTCGAGCCACTCCCGGATCAGAAAATATCTTATCGGCAGCATCTTGCATTCGGGCCACAAAGTCAACAAATGGCTCTGTGGTACCCTGAATTATTTTTGAAGGACACAAGGAGGCTGTTCCGGCACCACTTACCTGCTTCCAGGCGCGGAGCCCTATGGCGTTGATTTGTTCATAGACAGCGCCGGGGAACTGAGTCTGATCATCAGCGTGCTGACCTTCTCCCATAAGCATTTCCTTGTTCCACCCCCGGTTTCCCCGACTGGCGTTTCTCTCAGCCTGCTCTGCAGAGAACTCTGCGTACCAGGCTCGCCAATCCAGGTAACTACCCGAGGGCAGACACGCCTTTGCCAGCTGAATCCAGTCCGCGGGGGTGAGGGGCCCAGAAGACAGGTTCTCCAGCATGGCAATGGTGTAAGGCGCAGTCGGCCCAAAGGTTGTAACTGCATTTTTAAGTTCTCTAATCTGCTTTATCTCAAAAGGCTCCCATGCATTACGTCCCTGGCCCATAGCTACTTGTACAGGAAATATCCCGTAGGGGCCACTATCTATCCCAGGTGGTGGATGTACCTCATGAGACAAACGTCCCCCCTGCCAAAGCCGCCTGTAAAAATACCGACCCGCCGGCGGCGGAGCATAAGACGGCGGCCGTGATTGGGCGGAAAATGGGGGCCCGTGCATCACTTCCTGTTCTGGCGAAAGGGGAGGGAGCTCCCAGGCGGCCGCCTCGTGGTGAGGGATCGCCTCCCTCTCGCGCCGGGGAGCGCTCAGGAGCTCTCTACTCCTCCGCAGACCAAGTTGAGCGGAGCGCAATTCACGGCGCAACGCTGGGAAAGAACCCTGCGACTCCTTATCGAGCGACTTAGGCTCCTGACAGCTGGTCTCTTTGGCCTCCTTGCCATTCAACTTTCCCTCGTCCTCGGAGTCAGACGACTCCGAGGCTAGAGCCCCGTCCTTCTCCTTAGCATCTTTGTTCCCCTTGACGGGCCCCTCTCGGGAGCTCCCCGACTGGGCCTGCTCAAATACCCTGCGTACTTTTGTAAGCTCTTGAGAGCTTTCTCCACAACCACCCTCGCTCTTAGTGTTGCTACCTAGCATGTTTCCCATCTTTTAATATGTTACTCACCGCGTGAGGCCCAAGGAACCCGCCACTTACGCGTGAGCCTGAGGGGAGTCTAAAAGCCCTGTAGGTGCGCGCCACCCAGAGCCCAGGCTTATCCCCAACTCACCTGTCTCGCAGCTCTGTACTGGAGCGTTGTCCGCTGTCACGTCTCGGGGGTGATCAGTCCCCGTGCGGGCCTCCAAATGTCGATGTCGCTCCCGGCCGGCAGGAAGGACACACGACAAAGCCTGGCAGTGGACAACCTTTTCTTTTATTTTCCTTCTCCGTACAGCCTGCCCTGGGATCGCTCCCAGCCGAAGCCTCCTTTGGTCCGCTCCCCGCGGCTCCTTCTGGGCTTCTACTTCCGGGCTTCTTCTTCCCCCCCAGGGGTGGCACCAGTATATATACGGATACAGTGTCCAATCATGTTAAAGTAAGCAAGGCAAGCTGATTGGCTAACATCATCAGTTGCCAGGCAGACTATATTGTTGAGCGGGTTGCTTACGCGGTAAGCAGGAAACTAACGTGCTCGATGGGAGGGGTAATCTACCTCAGGCTTTACTCTTTACTACAGGCCTCACGTCCGCCAAGTGAGGCGACCGGGCTCGGGGCTGCGGCTCCCAACAAAGGCCAAGAAGAAAATTTGCTACAAAACTGGGTAGAGTTGAGTGCCAAGGTTTGCTAAGGTTCAAACTGTCCAAGAAGAGAGCATTCGTTCTGGTGCAGCCAGAGAGTGTGGTATGGAGGAAGAGGCACTCCTGTGCATTTTGCACCTGCGGAACACAAGAGGCAAACTGAGCCCCACCATGGCACATGATCAGGTCAGAAAGCTCCTCCAGAGATCTCCACCTTGGTTTGCAGTTTTGGTAAACTGAAGCACAGAAGCAAAAACAAGACAAGAAAATTCCAGTCTGCCTTGCAGAGGGAGATGCTCCAAATATTTTCCAGGGTAAACTGCAGCTCTAAGCTGAAGGAGAAAAGAAAAGAAGGAAAAAAGAGGTAAAGAAGGAAGGAAGGAAAGGAGGGAGGGAGGAAAGGAGGAAAGGAGGGAAAAAGAGAAGAGAAAGAAGAGAAGAGAGGAGAGGAGAGGAGAGAGGAGGAGAGAGAGAGAAAAAAAGAAAAGAAGGCAAACAACTCTCTTCTCATGGTTTGCACATGGATCACACTTCTCATGGAGAGAAAAATATTTAAGAAAGTCCTAGTTTGACAGGTGCATGTCAAACTATAGAACAACATTTCAAATCCTGTTTTTTTTTCAGAAGTTTTTCAAATAAAATTCTAAGAAATAATAATTTCTCATTAAAACTCACAAAGCGTACAATGAAATAAACCTGCATTCTTGAAGGACATGAGAAGCAAACACAAAATTTGAGCTTCCAAAACTGCAGGCCTATGAGTGGCGAGGCCCTGCTGTTATAACGTGCAAGTCATTTCACCCAAGATCCTGTTCCAACCTTGACAAATAATTGCTTTACTAATCTCTTCTTTAATTATTCAGTTTCAATATTCCATCTGTTTCCTCCTGGGACTTTGTCTGAATAAACTCAGTTTATTCGCACATCTAATATATTCTTCTGACTATGCGAGTAACATTTTATTTATTCACTTAATTACTTATTTTAGTTCTGTATTGATAGCTCACCTTTGGCAATTTTTTGAACGATCTAGTTCCATTAACTAGGATATTAATTTGATTGATTTTTATAGGCAGATCATGATCACATAGTTTTCAAATACATCAATTTATTTCTCTTTGCATCTCCTTTTATAGAATTAGTCAGAACTATCATGGAGATGGTGGATTACAACTTAAAGGAATATTTTTTCCAATTTGTCTTACAACAAGTAAAAGGCTTTGGATCTACAAACTTTACAAAATCAGGGACATCATGATGCATTTATAACTTACTAGAAAAATAAATTCATAAATAGATGTTGATCTTTAGAAAATTGAACTCATACTGTTTAGTCTTCCATTAAGAAAATGAAAAAGCAAAGAGGTTTAGAGAAAATCCAACAAAAAACTTGAATCCAGGTTAAAGAATTCATAAATAGATAACAAAATGAAGACAAACAAAATTTAAAACATGAGAAAAGAGCAAAAATTCACATTGGGAGATCCATGAATAGCAAATAAGCACAAGAAAAAAGGCTCCCTATCATTAGCAATGAAGAAAATAAACAGTGAGATACAACTTTATTGTCACTGCTGTTTCAAATTAAATTTAAAAGCAAATGTTGATGGATCAATGTATTGTTCCTATTTTATTGCTAGGAATGTAACAGTTCAATTGCTTTGGACAACTGACAATTTTGACATGTTATTATAAATGTCACTAGACATTTACCCTAGAATGCAACAATTTCATTCATAGCAATTCATTCAAGAGAAGTGGAAACATGCCTACAAAATGACTTGCATAAGAATACCTGTAGCAACATTATGTACCCAAGCCAAAAATATGAAAACAAAGCAAATGTCCATTCAAAGGCTAATTGTATGAATAAATTATTTAGAATATATTATAAAAACGCAATGAACTATATATACATGCAACAACATGGCTTAATCATAAAAACATTGAGCAGAATAATCCAGACACAAAAGGATACATGTCTATATGATTTCATTTGATGAACAGATAAAAATATCCTATGGTAAAAAGTCAGAATAGTAAGTACCTATGAGAAGACCGATTTATGGAAGGCAACTTGCGAAATTTTTCCTGGGGTAACAGAAATGCTCCGTTTCAATTTTGTATTGGTTCCCAGGGAGCAGGTATTTGCCAGTGCAATACTTACTTCATTGTTCACTAAGATCTATGCTTGTTTGTGTTACATGTTATCATCATCATGAAGTAAGATACTGACCTCACAAATGAGCCAGGAAACTTTCATTCTCTCTCCTTGTGTGTGTGTGTGTGTGTGTGTGTGTGAGAGAGAGAGAGAGAGAGAGAGAGAGAGAGAGAGAGAGAGAGAGAGACATATGAGCATGTAACAAACTACCCCAGACCTTGAATGACCTAAAACACCACATACTGTATTGTATTTTGGTGGAGGGCAGGCTTAGCTGTTTGCGACTCTATTCTACACAGTGGTAATCAACGTGTCAATCAGGGCTCTACTGAGGAAACTTGGCTGCCTGGCTCACTCGTGGCTTTGGGAAGGCCTCTGAAACCCACTTTCAACCCCAACCACATAGCTTTTCCCAGAGCTGGGCTAGGAGGGAAACAGAGTAAGACAGCACGATGGAAGTCACAGTCTCTCTGTAACATAATTTTGCAAGGGATGTCCAATCACTCTGCCATGTTCTTTTTTTTTTTTTTTTTTTTTTTTTTTGATAGTTCCAAGTTAATAGGTCCAGCCCACACTCAAGGGGAAGAGATTACACACGGCCTGGGTGGGAGACACACAGAGAGGAACTATGTTCCTGTTCAGAGGCTGCTTATCATGATGTATATAAATCTTATTTTGAGAGTGAAAATTTTTAATTCCACTTAAAAATCTTCTGTGCTCAGTGGTCCACAATTTAAAATGTTCTTTGTGCCAGTTTTAAACATTTTTATTTTTATTAATACACATTTATGACTCATAATATTTACAGTACATAATGGTTACATTCCTTGTGTGGAGTTGGTACAACTTAATTCCTGTGAGCATTTAACATTTTCCTGGGAATTTATCTGATTCATGCAGGTCAAGTTCATAAATATATATTCATACCTAATAACCTTTAAGAATTTATAAACAGTGTATCTGTAGTTATTTTTCCTTTTTATGATGTATTCTGTGTATTCACATCTTCTTCTTTTTCCATTATACCAATGTTAGTATTCGTTTAAATAATCTGGTTTCTGTTTTATTAATCTCTTGAAATTTTCCCCCGTCAGTCTTCAATAATTTCTGTGTTTAATTGGTTTCCATTTATAATGTTTCCATTGTTTTTTCCAAACTCTTGAGTTGATCAGTGTTAAAGACAAAACTATTACAAGTCTAATTTTATAGATCTTAATTGGCTTTATTTATGATTGCAGAATTTGTCACCAAATGGAATAAAAATGACTCAAAATGCCTGTCTTTCCACACTCCCACTGCATCCCCTGCCCACGTGGGCAGGTTGTATTTATAGTCAGAGAACAGGAAATGAGATACAGAAAACAGAAGTGAGGTAGGGACACAGCCCAGTTGGTTACTGCTTGCAACTGGCTTAGTTGAACATGGTTTGAACAGCTGTCTGCTTGTGATTGGCTAGAGTTCTAGAGGTCAGCTACTTGTCACCATTGTAGCTTACAGTCTGCCTACACATTGTTACGGGCTTGTGTGTAGATGTTGCCCAAAGCCTCACGCGGTCACAGATGAACTTGTCAGAGGTAGATGAATCTAACGTGCATGACGCTGGCATTCAATTGTGTGAAGCTGGAATTGAGGATGTGTGATTATTAAACTAATCCGCCGATTGGTTTAGCATACTTCTGGGTGTGGATAGTAGGAAGGTCCACCCTGGGTGTGAGGCACCACCCAATGGATGGGTAGCCTGAAAGGGATAAAAGGGAGAAGCAGGCTGCTGCTGCGGCTTCCCTGGTTTGCTCCTCTGCTGCTTTCTTCCCACCATGAACTGTTTCTCTCCTGTGATGCGGCTGTTACGCCACCCTCTCTTGGAGCCAGCTAACTGTACACTGAAACCTCTACAAACCCTGAGCTGAAATAAACCTTTCCTTCCTTAACTCTGGGTGTTGGGTATTTTGTTTCAACATGGAGAAAAGCAACAAAGTGAGGTTGGTGTTCTCTCTGTAATGAGAAAACTTTAAGCCCAAACTTACCTGTTAGCTTGTAATTTGTAACATCTTAAAATGTTCTGTTAAGCCATTAAGGTGTAATTTTGCTTAATGTTACTTCTTTAGTTGTTCCACACATTTGATATGCAGGGTTTTCATTGTTTCTTAATTATATGCATGTATTATTTTATACCCTTTTAAAACCAAGACTCACTTGGTAAGGTGTTTTTGGAATGACAACAGGAAGCCCAGATTCAGTTCCAACCCTGTTACAAACTACCCCTGTGATGTGGGGAGTCACTGACTTCTGCAGGTCTAGTTCTGTCCTTTAAGTCTAAGACATTAAGATGTAGTATTAGGATGCTTCTACTTTTTGTAGTCTTTTATTTTTCTGATTTCTAAGTTTGTCTCAGAAGTAGGCTGTGGACGATCTATGTATAACATAATTCAGAAGGAAAATTAAGAAGATCCAGACTATATCTAAATGCTAAAAAAAAATCTGTGATAGTCTATATGAACAATCCTAATAACCTAGACAAGTAGTTCCCAAACCTTGCTATGCACTAGAATCACCTTTGAGCATTTGTTACAAAAGCAGGGTCATGTTAGCAGGGCAATCTCACTGGTTTTCAAAGACAGCCCTTGAGAATCCCATAAGCAAAGCTCTGACCTTGGGGATCGTGGCCTTGCCAGCTGCACAATGGGTAGCCAAGGGCATTGTTTATGTCACTGTTTGAATTGTTTTGGAAATAGTTGTGAAGTCCCCATGCTGACCTTGGGAGAGATCCTCTCCCTCCCAAGCATTAGTTGCTTTTCTACAAATGAAGGCTTGAAATCTTTTCCAACT